TTTTTGGTCACTTGGGCAGAGGCCACAGACCTCTGAGTTCTAGGCCAGCCTAGTCTACAGAGTGAGTTCCAGGATAGGCAGGGCTACACAGAGAAACCCTGTCTCAAAAACAAAAACAAACAAACAAACAAACAAACAAAAGGACATTCTTGTCTACTGAGACTCATGTATGTCAGGCTAATCCGGTAGCCCAGGATAACCTCCGTGAACTCCTGATCTTCTGCCTCTACCGTGCCTGGCCTTGTGCGGTTTTGTTTTTGTTTTGAGAGGGGTTCCAGGCTGCCCAAGGCTTGTCTCAAACTGTTGGGCCACCTTCTTGCCTCAGTCTCCCAAAACAATGTTGTAATCCTGAAGTTCTAAAGTTGACATATACCTAATAGTCTTTTTTTTTTTTTTTCACTGTGTAGCCTGGGCTGGCCTGGAACCCACTCTGAAGAGCAAGCAGGCCTTCAACTCTTGAGTTTCACCTGCCTCTGCCTCTAAGTGCTAGGAGGAAAGGCATGCGCCACCACACTTTGTCTCCAGTGATCTACGAAGCCACTTGGTTAGCTAGCTGACCTATCTCTGGGCTCATTTCCAGTACAACTCCTACCAACTACCCTACTGACTTCCCTAGGCCTTGGAGTCTTAAATATGTCATTATCACAAGTAATCCAGAAGCTTTAAAGTATCTCCTGGGAATTTATATAGAACATTTATAATGACAAATCCAACTTAAATTAGAAGGGCCATAAAATGTTGGTGTTGTGGACATAAAATTTTGACCTTTTAGATACAAAACATTTAGACGTAAAAGTTTACACTTCATAAACTATCAACTGAATGCAAACAACCACTCACACCCATGGTTACTTCATGTGTCACTAAAACAGGACTATGAGTTCCACCCTTACCTTCACAGGTATATCCTACTTGTGTGTAGCAGTCAGAGATCTCAAACACATGTGCTCAATATTTTCTTCCATCCCTTCTTTCTTTCTTTTTTTTTGCGGACTACCTAGCCCTGAAGCCCTGACAGGCTGGCCTGCAACTGAAGAAATCCTTCTACCTCTGCCTCCCAGTACTGAGAGAAAAAGAAGGACCGCCACGGCAGCCCCTCCGCATCGTCTGAGACAGAGATTGTCACCTCATCTGGCTTCCTCAGCCCGCTGGGACTACAGGCCTGCCCTACCGTCTCGGGCTTCTGAGTCGGGAGGTCTGCACCCTTCACTGGCTCAGCTGTCTCCCCAGCCTCTTTTGTTCAGGGTTCTGTGTGGAAATCTAAACTGGTGCTCAGTAAGCGTGTCAGCTAAACAAACAAGCATTTCAGAGAGCCTTGCCCACCAGCACGACAGCCCGTCTTCTCTGTGTCTGCTGATGCCAAGTCCAGATGCACCTCAGTTCCTAGCTGCTGTGTTGACCATCACAACTACCCATGTGAAGGAGGAGGAGAGCTGGGACCAACCTCGCGCTCAGGGGAGACTGACGGGAAAGTGTGCCTTGCAGTTTACGCGCTGGGGAAACTGTAATTACCAGGATGCTAATGGAAACTGAAGCTTGCTTGGAAGTCAGTGGAGGCGCAGGAATGAATGTTGCTGGGCTCAGCTCCAATGGAAATTCCCAAGAACCACCAACAAAGCCAAGTCAAGTACAAGTAACCATTAACAGCTCTGATAGCAGAGGCTTGGCCAACCGGTAATGGCAGTGGGAACTGAACCAATGACTTAGAGGAATTTCCAACTTGGGAAAATTATGTTATTTGACCTTGTAATAGTGACCAAAATTACATTATTTCAGCCCACGTAGAAGGCACAAGCCTATAATCCAGGCTATTCAGGAAACTGAGGTAGAAGATCCCAACCAAGTACAAGGCCCACCTGGGCTACAGAATGAGTTCACGACCAAGCCAGGCAACTTGGAGTCAGCCTCTCCATGAAAAAGTAGTCAAGCAGGCATGATGACGAATACCTATAAGAGGAGATCAAGGTGAAGCCAATCTGGGCTGCACCACACAGCTTCAAAGTAATCAACCTGAGATTTAAAAGCAGACAAAGTGCTGGCCTCGCTAGCACACATGAGGCCTGAAATAAATAAGTAAATAAAATTCAGTTCAGGGCTCTTTTTCTTCAAGACAAGGTTTCTCTATGTAGCCCTGTGTAGTCATGGACTCACTTTATAGACCAGGCTGGTCTCAAACTCAGAGAGATCAGAGAATTTATAATGTTACAATGTTTAATTTAGGGGCATAGCCTGAAAGTACGAAGGTCTAATAGAACCTGAGCAAAATGCAGGTGTGTGTTCCCACACAGCACTATGGGCCAAAGTCAAGAATCTTTGTGGACAGGACACCCGCTTCCCAAGTGATGATACATTCCCCTCAGTTACCTGCCTGCCCTTTATGTCTTGGGTTGTGGCCAAATCTCAGGAGTGTGCTCCCTTTAGTGAGAGGAGGGGCTCTGACGTGGGACAGTATGGGTGAGGAGCCTGTTACTTCCTTAAAAGGAAAAGCTGCTTCACCAAATGCTCCACTTAGGATTTAGGCGATAAACCCTGATAGCTAAAGGGCTCCGAAGCCCAGTGCAAAGCTGCACGCCTGTCATCTAGCACCCAGAAGGCAGAGGCAGGCAGATCTCCGTGAGTTTGATGCCAGCCTGGTCTTCAGAGAAAGTCCCAGGGCAGTCAGGGCTACACAGAGAAACCCTGACTCACAAAACAAACGAATAGAAAGAATAAATTTTTAAAATTAGTATTTTTATATGTTATCAGTGTTTTGCGCACGCATGCACACACACACAGCTGTATGTGCGTGCATACCTGATGCCTGAGGAAATCAAGAGGGCATGCAACTGGGATTACGAATGGTCTGCAAGAAAATGGAGCCATCTCTCCCTAGGAGCCTCCCTGATACTGTTCTCCAGCCAGAACCTAGACCTCTGCTTCGAGACCATTCTCCTCCGCCTCCCCCGAGGCCCTGGCAAAACACCTGTCATCAGAGCAGACATCCGCTGCCCACCTTGTGTTTCTCTGCCGACGCCTCGCCATAGCCCTCACCAGGGGCTCTCTGCCTCAGACTGCGTTCACTTGGGGTATTTCTACCCTGACAAGCGCGCTCGCCCTCCGCACCTTAGGGGAACACTAACATTTAGGTTTCTTCAGAACCCGTGCCAGCACCTACGCACAGCATCCACTCCAGCCAGTTTTCTAGGTCTTTCTCCCAGAACCTCAACTCTAACGACCTGGTGCCTTGCCTGGCAGCCTTTCATAACCACTCCTGTCCCTGTGCCTTCACTTCCCCTCTGGGAGACTGTACAGCTGGAATGTGCCAGACAAACAGCCCACCTGAGTACATGGCTTTGCTTGCTGAGAAAACCAAGGCAAACAGACACCTCCTCCACCCCACCAAACGACGACCTCTATCAAAAGCGCCTCCTGCCTCAGACCAAGCTCTTGAAGCTTTCAAATAAACACCACTTGAGGTAAGGGAGGGCAGCGGTTCACCCGGCAGCAGTCCTTCAGAAAGGTCTGTAGGTCCAGCCAGCTGCAGCACTCAGGTCACCGGGAACAGAAAAGGGCTGCTCGGCAGGGTGCGGCCAAGACAATTACTGTGGTGTGACCGTCCAAGGCCTAAGGCGTCACCGCCACAGCAGGCTGGTTTCAGGCTTAGACGACATGCAGCTTAGAGAGGCCGTAACCTGATGTGGTTTACTTGGGGTATTTCCAGGCCAAAGTGACTAGTCCTCACCTGAAAAAGCCCTTAGGGGCCGCTGGAGTCTGGTGTCCACAGTCAAGGTCTCTGCTCCTGACTGTGGCTCTTCTAGAGCTGGGCCTCTCCCACTGGCATTCCCCATACTCCTTTTTCTCTAGGCTTAGACACAGGAGTAAGCCATTCCTCAGAGCTGCCATAAGGGAAGGCCTGGCTGCCACACTGCCCTCGTTATCTCCTCCAAAACCAATAAGGTCTTGGGCCTTGCGGCTGCTGCTCACTGCTCCCACCCCCTCACTCCCTTCCTCACTTCTGTTCCAGCCTCGGGGACTGTCTTTTCCTCCATCACAGCCCAAGGCTTCTGCTCTCCACCACTCCCACAGGACAGCGGGCAAGGTCCTGGCACAGGCGCCACCTCCTCACTCTTCCTGTTAGAACAGTCACCCTCCTCAGAGGCCTTCCTGAGCTAGGCGCCCTTAACCCTCCTTCCAGCACCCTGCTCTTACTGTCTGCTGTCACCACTTAGTCATTTCTGCTTTGTCAAGTAGCCTGCATTTAAGTGTTCGCTCATGGTCTCTCCCACCGCAATCCACGCTCTGCGGACGCAGGAACCTGTCTCGTCTGAGTCAGCGGCCGTCACCGGGGCCAGGACCGGTCTTACTGACACTCCGCAGGGACTCAATGAGTTTGCTCAATCAATGAGTTCTTTCAACAGAGACCTTTCCAAAGCTGGCTAGTGCTTGTCTGAAGCAGTTAAAAGCTGCTTCACTCGAGGAAGCACATCCCGGGGGCTGGAAGCCAAGAGCAACACTGGCGAACCAGGTGCTGCTGCCCTGGCAAACCAGGTGTTGCTGCCCTGGCAGGCGCCTTGGCAAAGCTCCTCCCTTGTGCCACTGCCGGTTCTCTTCTTCCCCCGGACATCACGGGAGGCCGCCGCGTTACATCCTAACAACAGGTGTCTCAGAGTGTCTTTTTTTTCCGTACCCGAAGCTGCCAACAGGTCGCCCCAACAACTCCCCACTTTCTGAGCGCTTTCTCTGGCCATTTCCGCTTCGCCGAGCTCCTCACCCCCTTCCTGCCACAGGAGCGGCCAGCGCCACCCCTTCCTGGAACCACCCCCCCCCCCCGTCTCCCCCCTTCCCGGCCTAGGGGTCCCTCTGCCGACGCCCCTCCACCTCAGCGCAGGCTCTGCGCCTCGCCCCCCTGCGGGTGTACCTCCCCCCGACACCCTCACTCGCCCCCGGGGAGGCCGCGCACCGAGCCCCCGCGGCTGCGGCCCCCGCGGCCCCCTCCTCCTGGATGGCCGCCGGGCCCTCACCGTGGACGTCCAGGTCTCTGCCGGCCGCCTGGGCCCCGGAGAGAAGCAGCGAGGCCAGCAGGGCGACGAGCGCCCGGCCCCGCCGCGGCCCGCTCGGCTGCGCCATGACCTGCCGCCCGCGCGCGCCGGGCCTCGAGCCGCCGGCCGTTGGGGGGGGGGGGGTCTCGCGAGCAGGTGCGGGAGGCCCTCGGCGGCGCACGCGCGCTCAGGTGCGGCGGCGCCCGGCTCCCCGGAAGCCCCTTCTTTTCGGGCTCCTGGCGCGTGCGACGACGCCCCTGGTCGCTCGGCGACACCCGGCGACTCTCCCCTCCACCCGCGGCTCGGAAGGCCTCCGCACCTCCAGACGCTCGCGGGGCCCAAGTGCGAATGGCGGACGCCGGGACTCCCGGGGAGGTGGCGGCCCTGCTGGGGGTGGGGCGCACCTGGCGGGGCGGAGCGCGGACACGGCGCAGGCGCGGAGGGCCCGCACCTGAGCCGGGGCTCTCGGGCCTGCACCTGGCCCCGCCCCCGGCACACGGGAGGGGGCGTGGCTGCGCCGGCCCCGCCCCCAGCAGCCCTGGCGGAGCGGTGGGCCTGCGGAGCGCCGATCCCGGTGGGCTTCGGCCGCGGCGGGCGCCGTGGCAAGACGCGCGCTCTCTGGAAACCTGTTCCTTTGCGGGTCAGGGCGCTATCCCGCCTAAAGTCAGCGTCCTCTGAATTCAGCGCGGGCCTCGCCAGACCGGCCTGCGTGTCGTCAGACGGGTGCAGCCCGGAGGAGGGATGCGGAATGCGATGGCGAAATCCCGGGGTCCGGTGAGCAGGGACAGCGCGAACCAGGGCAGGAGGGGAGCCTGCCGGCCAGGCCGGGCACTGTCTGGGGAGAGGCGACGAGGCCCCAAAACAGCAGGCCTCCCTGGACGCCGTCCGGAAAGACAATGCAAAGGTGTTAGGGTGAAGATTACTTGAGAGGAACAGACCCGAAGGGGGCGCGCACGGGCCGGGAACGCCGGAACCACCGCCGCAGAACCGGGGTGCTAGGAGCTGCGTGGATGGAACAGGACCGAGGACAGAAGACCACCGTCAGGATAATTAAAAGGATCACCTGCCGGGCGCGGTGACACACGCTAATGCCAGCACTCGGGGGAGCGGGGGCAGAGTGGTCTGCAAAGTGAGTTCAGGACAGCCAAGGTTACACAGAGAAACTCTTTTTGTCTTGAAAAACCAACAAAACAAAAAGGAGAGAGGGAAGGGAAAAAATAGGGCTCTTCTCAGGGCAACGGTGGTGCACCTCTTCAGTCCCAGCACTCGGGGAGGCTGAGGCGGGCGGATCTCTGTGAGTTTGAGAGGCTGTCAGCTTAGTCGACAGAGCAAGTTCCAGAACAGCCAGAGCTACACGGAGAAACTCTTGTCTTGGAAAAAATAGAAAAGAAAAGAAAATAGTCCTCTTGGGCCTGCAAGGTGGCTTAGTAAAAATACCAAACCTTAGACCTGAGCTCAGTTCCCAGTACACACATGGCAGAAGAAGAGAACTGACTCCTGAAGTTGACCTCTGACCTCTACACTCTAGACAGGGCACTTGCCAACCTACACACACAGACACACACACACACAAAAATAACTACGTAAGGCCAGCACAGTGGCGCACGCCTGTAATCTCAGCACTCAGGCAGGTCTCTGTGAGTTTGAGTCCAGCCTGGTCTACAAAGCCGGTCCAGGACAGCCAGGGCTACAGAGAAACCCTGTCCGGAAAAGCCAAATGAAATAATGTATTTAAGAAAAAACAGAAGAGCGTTCTTGTTAGTGTAAACAAGGTGGGCCTGTTTGCACAAGCCTGCACTCTCAGCACTCTGGAGGCTGAAGAAGGACTGCGGTAGTTCAAAACCAACCCCAGCAACAAGCTACAATCCCTGCCCCTCCAAAACAAAAGGCAACACAAAAACACCGGGCGTGGGGTGGCGCTCAGCTGTAGCGTGTCCACCCAGCACGCAGTCTTCCAGCGTGGTCCGCAGCCCCGCCGAAAGCCAACTGTCATGGCTGCAATCCAGGCACGCGGGTGACAGCCAGAGGGCCAGAACCAGAGTTCAGTTCACGCTCAGCACAGCAAACTCAGACCAGCCTGTGCTTCAGAGAACAGGCTGAAAAGGCCTGAAAACTGGACAGCGAATTTGGGGCTGGAACGGGACAAATGAAGACACACTTGGGGTCGGCAGCGGAGGAGTGGCGGTAAGAAGACAGCCTCGGAAACTGAGGGAGAAGAGCAGACGGGGAACAAAAGTGCCGGCATTGGCTCTGTGCCCGGGCCACTGAGGGTCTAAGTCCTGGCAGCCGAGGACGGTGGCTAGCAAGATGAAGAAAGATGTGCAGAGGAGAGCAGTGGCTAACCCGAGTTAACAATGGAGAAAGAGCGAGCGCCTGAGAGCTGCCCAGAGCTGCCTTAACTGGGTGCGGCCGGATCAGCTGAAGGCACAAGGTAAGGAGGCAATTAAAGAAAAAGGACTACAACCCGGTGCGGTGCTGTGGATGACCTGGAGGCTGCTACCCGGCAGCGCAAAGCAGGAACTCCACAAAGAACAGTCCATACTCAGTGTGCCAGTCTTCAGGGGTGAACTAGAATGGGTTGTTCTGTGGATTTATTTCTGAACGTCAGGTCAAACTTGCCATAAATTAGAAATTGATTTTCCAAAACAAAGTCCTTTTCGTATGATGGTATACAGTTTTTCAGTAATGATGTATACATTGTATTGATTTTTCCCCTAAATGTGTCATTTTAATAAATATGAGTTTCAAAAAAACCTGCAAGCATCAAGAGCATCAAAGCCTCTTTTTTAAAGACTGTTTTTGAGACGGGGTTTTTCTGTGTAGCCCTGGCTATCCTGGAACTTGCTATGTAGACCAGGCGGCCCTCAGTGTTGCGGCGATCCACCTGCCTCTGCCTCCAGAGCACCAGAATCAAAGGTATGCACTGCCACACCCAGCCTAGACACTCTTATGGTTAGGTATCTGGTGTTGTGGGAGCCAAGGCCACCCTTACCACTGTGTGGCTTCTCTGGCTTCATGCAGAAAACCGTGACCTATCAACACAGTGTTTGCCTTAAGCAACTAAGACAGGTTTATGCCTGCTGTCTTCGTTACCTTGCCTTGAAGTTCTAGGCCTGTCTCCCCCAGAGTTCTGCTCCCCGTCCTCCCGGCTTCCCAGCACCTGGTTTGTGAGGTAAACGGTAGCACCGAGTGACTGGAGGTGACAGTGGGGAGAAGGCGCAGGCCCACTCAGTACTCACAGAAGCGCGCACCTGCTCAGCGCACGTCATCAGGTGCTGTCAGTGCTGGGAAGGCACAAGAATGAACGTGGCTCCCACAAGGCTCCATAAAGCAATGCTCAGTAGGTGTTTGGTGCTTGGGTTACTGCTCAGATGGGTTCAGTGGCCCAGGCCTCTAATCCCTGCTGACAGGAAGGCCGAGGCAGGAAGATCTTGACAAAGGGCCAGGACAGCCTGAGCTACATATTGAGGCTTTAAAAAAAGAAAAAAGGCGAGTACGGTGGTGTCCTCTCTCTGTGTCTCTGTTTTTTGTTTGTTTGTTGAGACAGGGTTTCTCTGTGAAGGCTTGACTGTCCTGGACTCTCTTTGTAGGCCACACTGGCCTCAAAGAGATCTGCCTGCCTTTGCCTCCTTGAGTGCTGGGATTCCAGGCACGGCACCGTGGCCTGGAGGCCATGTCCTTTCTTTCCCCCAGCACTCACAGGTGGATCCCTGTGAGTGTGAGACCACCTGGTCTGCATAGCAAATTCCAGGCCAGCCAGGCTACACAGCCAGACCCTGAGGGGGTGGGGGAGGAGGAGGAACAAGAGTTGGACAGCTGGCTTAGCTGATAAAGTGCTTGTCCTCCAGCCCTGGACCTGTGTTTCACCACCTCCACCACCTCCACCGCCACCACCACCACCTCCACCACTGCCTCCACCACCGCCTCCACCATCTCCACCACCTCCACCACCTCCACCACCTCCACCACTGCCTCCACCGCCTCCACCACCTCCACCATCTCCACCACCGCCTCCACCGCCTCCACCACCTCCACCACCTCCTCCACCGCCTCCACCGCCTCCACCACCTCCACCACCACCTCCACCATCTCCACCACCGCCTCCACCGCCTCCACCACCACCTCCACCTCCACCACCTCCACCACCACCTCCACCACCTCCACCACCGCCTCCACCACCACCACCTCCACCACTGCCTCCACCTCCACCTCCACCACCTCCACCACCACCACCTCCACCTCCACCACCTCCACCACCACCTCCACCACCTCCACCACCGCCTCC